TATATTGTTTTTTCCGTGTAGACTTCGCAGGACCATTTCTAGGATGTCACTTTTTTATTTTAGTAGATACATATACTAAATGGCCTGAAATCCATATTGTAAAGAACCTTACATCAAAAACAACAATAGATTTATGCAGAAAAATCTTCGCAACTTTCGGAATTCCAAAATATTTCGTTTCTGATAACGCAAAAACTTTCACTGCTACAGAATTCAAAACATTTTTAAAAGTAAATGGAATTACGCAAAAACTTACAGCACCGTACAATCCATCAACAAATGGACAAGCAGAAAGATTTGTACAAACCCTGAAAAACTCCTTGCGGCGCATGAGAAGCAATTCATCTAATATGCATATTTTATTACAACAAATACTTATGCAATACAGAAACACTAGTCATGCCGCGACAGGAAAATCACCAGCGGAATTAATGTTCGCGAGAAGACTACATACGCGTTTAGATTTATTATTACCTACCGAAAAAGAATGTATACAAACAGAAAGCAAGCCAGTACCGATTGTTTTCGAGGTAGGAAAAAGAGTGAGTTGTAGAAATTATTTGGGGCATGAAAAGTGGTGTTTCGGAAAAGTTAAAGAGCGGATAGGCAAATTACATTATCAAATCCAGCTAGATGATGGACGAATTTGGAAAAGACACATTAATCAAATGCGTGCGATAGGCGAGAAAACACCAGCGAAGATGTTACAGGACATAATTTCCAGTAACGATTTTACAATAGATAATACTCCACCAGAAATAGAAAGGCCATTACAGCAAGCACCAGAGGAACCAGAGCATTTACAACAAGAGTTGCATCATCAAACAATACCTGTGGAAAATAGCAATGAAACACAGGAAAATCTCCCGGATAGAGCCACAGAACCCATAGTGGAAACTCCTACACGAGTTTCAAGGTCACCAAGAAGACCACGTAAACTCCCTTTGCGTTTTAAAGATTACCAAGTTCAGTTCAAATAAGAACACATATACATATTCGTTACAGTTATATCCCAATCAGCAGAGAATTGTTTTTTAAACGTTTTTTAAACGTTTTTTAAACGTTTTTTTATTGCAAAAAAGGTTTAGAAAACATTTAAAAAACGTTTAATCAATGGGATAGATCCCTTTTTTCCATTAAATAAATGTTTTTTTAAATGTTTAAAAAACGATTTTTC